CTCTGGGAGGCCAAACTGTTCTATGAAATGTTTTCTGGGTCTCTGTTTTTTTTTCGTTCAGCCTCTGCCTTTGCTGGTAAATCAGGTAGTCGTTGTAGACCGTCTTTTGACATTCCACTTCCGCTCATCCAGATTTGCTGTTGCTGACTACAGACAATAATTTAGAATGTGGATTGCTCCTGAAAAGCCCTTACTTGCTTCATGATAGGAAGAGTAGTTGTTGGCTCTAACTGCAGCCTCGGTCGATTCTTATTCTCATTCGTAGAGCGCTATCTTATGGTACGTATGCTGGATGTGGTGTATTCACAGAAAATGTCTGCTTATTTCCTAGCATGATCTAGGTTTTTAGTTTTGCCGTTTCTTGCTGTATACAGAAAAGAGTCTACCTTTAAAACGTCATAGCCGACTGAGTTATACTGCTGCATAGCTGGTAGATTTTTGGTTGACATCTTCAAGTAACTTTTATCTTACTTTGTTTTAGTAGTTATTACTACTCCTGCAAATTGAAAAAAAAAAGAAACAACTTTGCTCTCTTGCAACTTAGATAAATCTTTATTTTCTTTTCTGTAGTGTAAATCTTTCGCTTTTCTAATTTCTAGCGACAGTTGAGTTTGAAGGTTTGTGTAACGGATTCAGGTGTTGATTATATAATTTGAAACTGTGAACTATTAGAATGATATTAACTGTCCTACTATTCTATCAGTTACGAACCTCTAGTAGCACTGAATTTACGTATCACAACAAAAATGTTCATGTCCTAGGGAGTTGCGATAAAGAACGCTTTGGAACATATCCTAAGGGCTCGACTTAAATCCTTTTGCATACTGCGTGATGAAAATCAGAGTTCCCTTTATTCTCTCAATCAAGCAGTTTCAAATACTAATACTTCTAAATTCTATTTGCTCGAATTTCCCATCTTTTCTTACATCCAAGAAATGTTATAAGTTTATCGAGGACGACCTAAGTCTTTTTTGATTTCGATGTTAAGCGTCTATTCCTGCAAAAGTTATGAAAAAATTTAAAAGCGATGTTACAACTTCCGGTTTTTTCGGCGCTGCACACCAAAAATTAATTTTGCGGAAGTTGACTGCAGTATTTTCTAAAAAAAATAATAACGGCACAAGAGCGTGATGGAGGTCTGTTTGCATGCAACAGGAGAACATCTTTGGGCAGAAGAATATACGCTAAAAAACCCTTGAAAAAGCAGATGAAAAATTTGAGAAGAAGAGTATGCTTTTTAAAATATAATAAATTAAAACTGTGGGATAAAAAGCTGTTTAAACTGCGACGTCAACTATTCAAGCTGACTTCAGGAGGTTTTCTCCAGCAGCAGAAATTTGAAAGTGTTAGAGAGAATTTCAATTCTGCAACGAAAAAGTAAAAAAAAAAAAACAGGCCAGATGACGGTAAA